AGCTAAATACGAAACAAACGATGTCAGAACTTGGTTACTTCATATTATTTATTTCCACTACAATATTGTTTCGTATGGTTGGCAGAGCCAACCACACTCATCAGGCGGATATGTACAACTGATTCTATTACAAGGAAAACTTAAGCATATCATTAATTGAGAAGCAGATTAGCGGTGATTAAATGGGTCTATTGTCTAGATAGTATATTGTTTATCTATGGATTAGTAATCATTGGTTTCTTAGCAGGAATTTCCTCCTGTTCCTACAAGTGGATATTTGAGTTGAGAGAACTTAACTCAGGATGACAAATAATTAGAAACTTTTCATGTAGGCATAGATTGCATCATTTTATAGTATTAGAATATGGTCTACATTGTTTAATAATTTTCCATTTTATGGTATATTGCGTCTAGTGTCTTTCAATGACCAAATGTATTTACTTAGTTCTGTACTATTTCTGTATTTAGCATTACCGAATGAGTTAGTATGGTTTCTATATCTAGTTTTAAATGTATTTTAAGACCGATGTAAGTTTCTTCATTCTTGTTGTCGACTCTTGTTACTGTAGCTTGATAAACAATCCCTTCGATGAGGCATTTACCGGATAGTGGGCATTCGCTCTTTGGCGACAGTTACATGCAGGGTTATTCTGAAGTTCCTTAGACAATATAGATTTGTTGTGTAAATTAATAACACTATTCATGTTCACTATTCATGCAGCTGTAGCTGAGTTTCAATGTGTTTCTGTTAAATACAGTAGCTTTCTAAGCTCGTGTTCTTGCGGGAAGCATTCATCCACTATATGTAGACATTTGTGGCCTATATTGGTAGCGACGTTGGCGCTGTACGGGGGCGACGTTGGCGCTGGGGGGGGCGTTAAACCATATGACATTTCGGCTGCGCGATCGTTTTGACTTTGTGGGTACAGGCTTAAAATTCAATTTGTAGTCCTAGCCGCTTTTGTGGAGGGCCTCTTGATACGTTGGAGCAGCTGAATCGAACGATTCCTTATCAGACGAGATGTTGGATAGTCTTCTATTGATGGCTTCTGGTATGTTACGAATTATTGACGGTGGGTAGTTGCTTTGTTGATGGATGTAAAGGAGGTATTGTTGGGTTTGGAAAATGGTTTGAATGTTCCGGTTCTTAAATCTAGGGTTATGTCCAGGTAATCAACTGATTTTTTTGTTGGCTTCTATGGTGAGATGTAGATTGTTGTTTCGAAATACCTTGCATATGTGTTTTTTAATACACTCAATTTTTCTCGGTGACACGTCAAATGCGGCTAGACCGTCATCTCTGTATAGGCCGATTTTGTTGCCATATGTCGGTGTTAGCTGGGATAGTAGATACGATCCGACTAGCTCGCAGGTTTCTGCACCGTATAGATAGTTTACCGTATCAGTCTTGTATAGTACAAATAATAATTACAAAAAATAATAATAATAATTTTAATAATTTTGAGAAGGCGTTTTTATAACGTTCTCAAAACTTTCAATCCTACTTACTACAAAAACAACAACATCATCATTAAACCAATGACTCGATAAATTTGTCTTTTACATATTCAACCATTTCATACTTGCTTTAGTACTATTACATGCGTACTCATTTTAAATTTTGTTTTTAACTTTAAAACAGAAAGATTTCCAAATGATATTTGCATTTAGTTCTCATTATCTTTTTTCCTTTGTTAAGCCAATTTTATAAATAGAGAATGTAAGTAGAGACATAAGTTCATTCAGATTTTCTTTTTAGTTCCAACAATAATGTCAAACCAGTTTATTGATTCTACACCTGGAAAGTCGCATTTAGTAATAAATTGCATTAAATCTTTTCCACACAGGTTAAACTTTTGTACATTTAAAAAACATATGGTGTTCATTTTCTATTTCTTTATAACAATTGTCACATAAATCACTTGTAACTACTCTCCTTGTTTTAAATAGTCTTTTATTACAAGGTAGGATGCGATGTAAAGCTTACAGTTAAACTGGGCAATTTTTGTAATATGTTTCATACCTTTCACTTGATTGTACCATACCTCGTCCCAGTTAATTACTTTAGTGTTAAACTCTACTTCCCATTTCATTTGCATGATTGGGGTTGTAAAAATTTCAGAAATTAAATGATTATAGTAAACACCAACTTTGTTTACCTTTTTGAACAGTGAATTCCTTATATATTATTTATCTTGTGGTACATCATCATTTAACCCCTTTGAAATGATTATCTTCCATTCTTTTGGAATTGCATTTATCAGGGAAATATATACAATGAGCCCATTTGTTTTATTGGAAAGTGTAGG